AGGAATAACAAGTGTAATATCCACTAAAGAAAAGCTTAAGTATATAACACCAACACTGTAAGGTCGTTTGTCCTCTCCTCAAGAAGGGCAAAGAAGGTAACTCTCATACTTTCGTCGTAGAAACATGTTTAGCGGTTGTATCTACCTGTACCTGGTGTGTAGATACTGGAGCCACTGATCATGTCTGCAATTCTTTACAGGGGTTCCAGGAAACCAGACAGCTTAGGGATAGAGAGATTACAGTCTACATGGGCAATGCTACGAAAGTGGCAGCAGTTGCAGTGGGAGTTGTTACTTTAGTATTTGATGCTAGTATTTTGGTTTTGAACAATTGTCTTTTTGTTCCAAGTTTTAGGAAGAATTTAATTTCAGTTTCTAAACTCGTTTTGAATGGTTATTCAGTTTCGTTTAATAACTCAGTTGTTATTCGTCATGGTAATCATTTGATTTGTTCTGGTTCAATGGTTGGCAATTTATATGTTCTGAAACCAAAGTCTCCCACACTGCAACAAAATGAATCGAATAATGTCTCGACTAAAACTAATAAGAGAAAAGAGTCTTCGATGAACCATGCATATCTTTGGCACCTTAGGCTTGGGCACATCAACCTTAGGAGGATTCAAAGGTTGGTATCTACTGGGCATCTTGGTCCAGTAGAATATCATTACCAGACTGCAAGTCCTGCCTAGAAGGTAAGATGCCCAAGAGGCCGTTTTCGGCAAAGGAGCGAAGGAGCCAAGAAGTGCTAGGATTGATTCATTCTGATTTGTGTGGTCCTATGTCGATCCAAGCTAGAGGAGGCTATGAGTATTTCGTCACTTTTATTGATGATTATTCTAGATATGGATACATTTACTTGTTGCACCGCAAGTCCAAATGCTTTGAGAAATTCAAGGAGTATAGGACATTTGTGGAGAAACAACAAGGTAAAAGTATCAAGTGTCTTCAATATGATCGAGGAGGCGAATACCTCTTTGGAGAGTTTAGGACATACCTATCGGAAGAAGGGATTGAATCCCAGCTGACTGCACCTGGCACGCCCCAGCAGAACGGGGTTGCAGAGCGAAGAAATAGAACTCTTATGGAAATGGTTAGGTCGATGATGAGTTATTCGAAGTTACCAGATTTGTTTTGGGGATTTGCATTAGAGAAAGCATGTTACATTCTGAATTCTGTTCCTTCAAAGTCAGTAGACAGTACTCTTTATGAGTTGTGGAAAGGGCGCAAGCCTAATTTCTCACAAATTCGAATTTCGGGTTGCCCTGCACATGTCTTAGTGCAGGAGGCTGGCAAGTTGAAGAAACGATCAGAAGTGAGACTGTTTGTCGGCTACTCTAAAGAAACGAAAGGTGGTTTATTTTATAGTCCTGAGGATCAGAAGGTGATCGTTAGTACGAACGCTAGATTGTTGGAAGAAGACTATATCATAGGTCATAATCCCAGTAGTAAACTTGTCCTAGAAGAGTTAGGGAGAGATATCGATAGTTCCCCACCGAGTGTGCAAGTAGATACATCACATAGTACTGCAACACGTAACACTGATAGTGTGCCAGTACAGACAGTACCTCGTCGTGGTGGGAGGGTTTCTACACAACCCGACTGATGGATAGGTCTTGGAGAGTCATCGGATTCAGTTCCAGGAGACCTAGAATCGGACCCAAGGACTTATGACGAGGCACTCCAAGATAGAGATGCAAATTCATGGAAGGTTGCAATGAAAGCTGAGATGGGGTCTATGGACACCAATCAGGTCTGGGATCTTGTAGAACCACCCGATGGGATACGTCCCATTGGATGCAAGTGGGTTTACAAGAGAAAGAGGGGATCGGATGGAAAGGTGGAAACCTTTAAAGCTAGGCTTGTTGCGAAAGGTTATACCCAGAAAGAGGGTATCGATTATAATGAAACCTTATCGCCAGTAGCTATGCTTAAATCCATTCGGATTCCCTTAGCTGTAGCCACTCATATGGATTATGAAGTCTGGCAGATGGATGTTAAGACGACTTTCCTTAATGGGAACCTTCAGGAAGACATCTATATGCAGCAACCAGAAGGATTCATTGCAAAAGGGCATGAGCACTTAGTTTGTAAGCTTAATCGGTCTATTTATGGACAGAAGCAAGCTTCAAGGTCTTGGAATATTCGGTTTGATGAGGTAATCCAGTCATATGGATTTACCCAATGTCCGGAAGAGCATTGTGTATAAAAAAAGATTGGTGGAAGCGTGGTGGTGTTTCTTGTGCTATACGTGGATGACATACTTCTTATTGGCAACAACAAGAAGGAGTTATCGGACGTAAAGGCATAGTTGTCTAAGAAGTTTGATATGAAGGACTTGGATGAAGCAGGACACATTCTTGGTATCAAGATCATTTGTGATCGTGAGAAGAAAATGATGTGCTTATCTCAGTCTTCATATATAGATACTGTCTTGGCCAGATTCAGTATGCAGAACTCTAAGAGAGGTACATTACCTTTCAGACATGGAGTACCTTGATCTAAGGAGTTGTCTCCTAAGACGACTGAGGAGATAGAGGACATGAAGACAGTTCCTTATGCTTCGGCAGTAGGAAGTCTCATGTATGCAATGCTGTGCACTAGGCCTGATATTAGCTACGCCGTTGGCATGGTAGCAAGATATCAAAGTAATCCAGGAAGGGAACATTGGGCTGCGGTGAAACGTATACTCAAGTACCTGCGAAGGACTAAGGAGTACATGTTAGTTTACCGTGCAGACAGTTTGTTTCCGCTGGGTTACAGCGATTCTGATTTTCAGTCAGATAGGGACGAGAGTAAGTCAACCTCAGGTTATGTGTTTACCTTGGGAGGTGGAGCCATTTCATGGAGGAGTGCTAAGCAGAAGTGCGTAGCAGACTCCACTATGGAAGCCGAGTACATCGCAGTCTCTGAGGCAACGAAAGAGGCAGTTTCGCTCAGAAACTTCTTGGTAGACTTAGAAGTGATTCCGAGTTTGCCACGTGTTATTACCGTGTACTGTGATAACAGTGGTGCAGTAGCAAACTCAAGGGAACCACGAGCCCACAGAGCAAGCAAACACATAGAGCACAAATACCACCTTATCAGAGATATTGTGGCAAGAAGAGAAGTTGAGATCACCAAGATTGCATCAAAAGACAACCTAGCTGATCCTTTTATGAAGAGTTTGCCGGAGAAGGTCTTCGCCAAACACGTAGAGGGAATGGGAGTCAAATGTATGGTGATAGGATCGACATAGGTCTTTTAGGATACGGATTGATAGGACTATACTAGTAAAGCGACAACTTTAAGTATAAGTGGGAGATTGTTGGTGTTATATACTTAAGCTTTGCTTTAGTGGATATTACACTTGTTATTTCTTGATGAATGAGAATTATGTTTGGTTAAATAAGTTCCACGTTATGTTGTTTTGCATGTAGATAAGTGTGTCGTCATCGGGCGTACCGAAGATCACTTTGCGAAACAAGAATCATTGGTTCACAACCTAGATGGAATTGAACAACCCATCAGAACGGTTGTAGTGTCAACCGTACGGTTTGTCTTGACCGATTAGTTGCACTAGTACATTTATGTATTGAACAGGATCCCAGAGAGGGATGTTCATTTTATACTGATCGTCGTAAATGAACTAGGCCTTAGTTAATTATTGCGTGCCCTTAACCCGTAAGATATTAAATAGGCATGTGCACATAATTGTTGTTGCTTTGATTCTTTGGGTGAGATCCAAGTCAGGTCGACATACTTAATGAATTGGATAATGACATTATGTGTTCGATGTGCTATTAGGATATTTACGGTCACCATGTGCGTTAGTATGGTGATGTCCCCGAAGTGAGTTCATGAAGGAATATTATGCTAAACCCTGCAGGTGGATTTATTCCGGCATAATATGAATGCTATGAGCAAGCGCTAGCTTCGA